AGCGATCGTAGGCCATCACTGCCAGTAAGTAGGACTCAGTCACCACAGCCACACAGGACAAGAAGTACTGCAACAAACAGCTGAAGTAGAGGATAGTTTTATCAGCCAGGATCAAGTTCTCAAGCAGCTTGGGCGTGATGATGGTTGAGTAGCAGAAGTCAACAAAGGAGAGGTGGCTGAGGAAGAAGTACATGGGAGTGTGGAACTTGGTATTGGTATTGATAAGCACTATCATCCCAAGGTTTCCCACTACGGTGATGATGTACATGAAGAGAAATATCAGGAATAGGGGGATCTGAAGCTCAGGATAGTCTGTGAATCCCAGAAGGGCAAAAATAATCTGCACACTCACATTTCTCTCAGGTGGCACCATAGCTCCAATTAGTGAGCAACTGAAGCAGAAGAGTCTCCTGTTTAATTCAAAATTATGTGATAAATGTCATACAGTTCTCAAATAACAATAAAAATGACATTGTAGTTTGATTATTTGCAAAGATTTGACATTGAGATTTTTTTTAATTCCAAGAAATAAAAGATTATAGAAAACTACCAGAAAAGATATAGCAATATCATTTGGTCATCTTTTGTATTACTGTGTCACTGAAGCCCAGGCAGATTCCAAAGAAGTTTAATGTTTTCTTTGTTAGTCGTTTGCCAAATATTGAGACAAAATATCTCTATATGTATACACCACTCTCCTGAATATCGTTGTGTCTGCATTAATGACTACATAGAAAGAAGGATCAAAGAGCATCTTAGTTATAATGTCAGTAAAGTGACACTTTCACAGCAGTGAAAGCAATCTGGTTAAACTTACTTGCTACAGAGAAAGAGTCACCATGCTCCTGGTGCTCTGTGAATCAAGTACAGCAGAAAGAGAAGGCCATTTATGTTCATGTGATATCACTGGGGACTCAAACTCTAGAGAAATTCCAAGAAACTATTCCACACAGGCCTCAGAGCAGACAATTAGAATGAACACCAAATCTCCTTTTAATGAAGCTTTAATAATGAGACTTTCCTTGAAAAAACACTGAACATACTGTACTCCCAAGCTCTGTTCGTATATAATTAAGACATCCTCAGCACTGACATTAAAATAACAACAAACACTGCCTCATCTACTGTTAATCTCAGTGGCTGTCTTTGGATTGGGTAAGAGTATATAGCATATTTAGGCAAACTCAATCCCTTTTGTGAAACAGTTAAAAGGTTATGTAGGTCATGGAAGAAACAAAACTTAAGAAAACTTTCTGGCTTGTCCAATGTATGATGCAAGTTGGCATTTCATTTGGGCTCTATAATCCAGCATTCATGACATTTCCTAGGGAGCATTTGGCAGATAGAACTTGTTCAGAACATTGGGTAGAACACACAACAATTTATCGAGTAGATCTTCAGGATCAAAGTAAAACTTTCACAAGATAACTTTTCATTTTAAATCTTTTCAGTCAAGCATTTTTTATTGAAAGTAGCTTTATTCCCTCTTAATATGTCATGACTATGTCTTCTCCTCCATCTACTACTCCAAGTTGCTCCTACCTCCCCTCCTATCCAGATCTACCACCTTTTTTCTCTGACTAGAAAACAAGGTATAAAAATAAAATTTAAGATAAAACAAAAACTACTACATTGCAATAGTATAAAACAAATAAACAAGGGAAAAGAACCCCCAAAGGCAAAAGAACAGATATAGGTACAGAGGTCCACTCATTCAAACACTCAGAAATTCCATAATGACACTAAACTGGAGGCCATAATATATATGTGTGGTGCTGGTATAACTGGATATCAACATATAGAAGAATGCAAATAGATACATATCTATTGCTCTGCGAAACACTCGAGTCCAAGTGGATCAAAGACCTCAGCACAAATCCAATTACAGTGAACATGATAGAAGAAAAAGGGAGACGTAGGCTTGAACACATTGGCACAGGAGATTACTCCCTGATTATAACACCGGTAGCACAAGCACTGAGATCAAAAATTAATGAATGGGATCTCCTGAAACCAAAAAGCTTTGGTGGGCAAAGGGACATTGTCAATAAGGCAAAACATCAGTTTACAGTGTGAAAAATGATCCCTACCAGCCCCACATCTGACAGAGGGCCGATCTCCAAAATATATAAAGAACACAAGAAGCTAAAGTAATGGTGCTCAAGTAAAAAGTGAACTAATAAGGAATTCACAGATTAGGGAAGAATCAAACTGATCTTAGGTATTTTATAATCAAAAAATTAAAATAAATATGTTCAAATTGCAATTACAAAAATCTGTTTATAAGAACATGATGGGCATAATTAAAGTCAGGCCCCATACTTCCAGCTGAGTTTGTGGCTGCACTTGTAGTGGGTGACAGGTGCATATTTGTTTGTATTTAAACATGTAGAGCCAAAGTGTAAGTCATCAAGAAAATAAGATACACAAACCACTTCTGGTTATTACCGAATCGCAGGAATCTAAGGTACAGTTTTTTCAAACTTTGAGATGCACAAGCATCTTCTCCCTTTAATTATGCATGTTAGCCTAAAAGTACAAATATGAGATTTGTTCAGTGCTGTTAAGTGTAGAATTATGCTTAATAGATTTCATTATATTAATGATTTGCAGGTCTGGTGACAGGAATTATGAATAGAATGCATTCAATCCTAAACATATATTATATGTTCCTATCCATTAAAGTAGCATTTTTTAGCATTTAAAATCATTGGTAAGTGTAGATGATATCAATAATTAACAGGACATGAGTTTAATTTTTTATGTCTTGGTATGGCATTGTTGCATCATTGTGGGACCTACTGTTGTTGGAGTTTCTTTTAATCTAGCCCCCACATTGGAATACCAAAATGTTGTATTTTATTTTATTTTAGCCCCATGCTGGAATGTCAAAATGTTGTTGGTTATTTTTTCTCTTTATTATTTTGGGGGGCCTACCACCCAGCTCTCAGATCAATCAAACATGAAGGCTTATTATTTCTTATAAATCCCCAGCATTGACTTGGCTTGTATCTAGCCAGCTTTTCTTAATTTAAATTATCCCATCTACCTTTTGCCTCTGGGATTTTCCTTGTTCTTACTTCTGTCATCTCACTTTCACTCTTATTCCATTGCTGGCTGGGTGGCTGGCCCCTTCTTTTCTCACTCCTTAATCTCCTTTGCTCCTTCTTTCTCTCCTCCCAGATTTCTCCTTCTATTTATCCTCTCTGCCTGCCAGTTCCACCTATCCTTTCTCCTGCCTCAAAATTGTCCGTTCAGCTTTTTATTAGCTCATCAGGAGTTTTAGATGGACAAAGTAACACGGCTTCACAGAGTTAAACAAATGCAACCTAAAAGAATGCAACACATCTTTGCATTTGTTTATGCTGTGGAACATTAAATAAATATAACACATCTTCAAATAATATTATAGCAATCTACATCATTAGTCTCTCAGAGGGACAATCAGAAACTTAGAATGGCATTGTATGAGCATCATCACTAACACATTTGTACATGGGGGCCAACATTATCCTCAGAGCCTCCATAAGCTAACAGACTTTTGAGTCAACCCATATATTAGTTAGAGATTTAATAGAGTCCCAGTCAAAAATCACAAACCATTCTTTATAGAAATAGAAAAAAATCAGAACTCCTATGGAAACATATACATGATGGGAGCCCATTCTTTATTAAGCAAGCTACAGTCCTGCTCTGAATCTCAGTAAGATGATTGGAATAATTACATATATGTGCAATTACATGTCTTCAGTCCAACTCAAAAGGCACAATGACACAGCTATTATGAGGACGTTATCAAAGTGCAATCCCTGTGAATGCTTATCTACACCACAGAATATGTGTGTATTGTGCAATATATAATATTAAATATGGTATAAATGTGAATTTGCTGCTAGTATGTCACAAAGCACAATTATAAACAGAGTAAATATGATATAATCATATCACGTATTCTGTATAATCATATTCATTAATTAAAATTACAAAATCATTTCTTTCTTTCCACTGTTTCTGAGTTCTTTCTTGATAGGTTTAGAGAGATGCTAATGTTTTCACAGCAAACGTTTTAACAATCGAGCAATCTCCCTACATTTCATCTTCATTTATTTCATGACATGCTTTTTCAAATAATAAAACATTACCCCAAATTTTAATATTAATTGTTTATAGTCTGTTATTTTGCATTTTATCAAAAATGTGCACCCAAATTTTAAAATACTTTATTACTTATGCTAATATTTTATGCATTTTGTGTATACATTCTTATATTCTAGTTTATATTGCAGTACGATATGAAATAAAACTCTTACCTTTTGTTATATAGTTGCAGTTTTCCCATTATTGTCATTAAAACAAATTGTATTTTCTCAATGGAATTATAATGAATGTTTTAAACTTAGAAGACAGAAAATATGTGAGTTTATTTCACAATTTTTTACTTAAACATTCCAATGACTTTATTACTCAAGTATTTTTTCAACAAAATTGAGCATAAATTTAGGGAACACAGAACAACATTATTTCATCTATTTGCTTTCGAAGTATAATACAGTTTTCATGAAAGAAAATAACCTGCCCATTCAACAGGAGAAACAAAGTGATTGCAAAAACACTCAAACTCGAAGCATTTAGAAAAATTATCTGAGAAGAGTGAATTTCCTATATGTAACTCAATGATCCCATGATTAATTTATACATCATTGATGAATTAAATGCATTTACTTTGAAAATACGTACATAAAATTTGAGTTTAGATTATAAAATAACTAAAATAATGCACAAATATTGCAAGTTTTCAAGATTTAATATTTTTAATTTTCATGTGTTTACAAGATAGTACCTTAAGTTTAATATATTAAAAAATAGCCATCACAAAATGTTGTATCCAGAGACATAACAGTTAATTGAATTTTGACTAATTTATTTAATCATAAATTTCTATGAAAGAATTATGCATTGTTTAATATACTAAAACAAATTTTATAAATAAAATACCAAATCTAAGATACTGAGTGACAATGAGACTTGATGAGTACTAATTTTCTGATTGTCTCTTTCACAACCTTGTTCCTTAGGCTGTAGATCAGTGGGTTCAGCATGGGAATCACTACTGTGTAAAACACAGAAGCCACTTTAACAACGAACGAAGAAGCTTTAGGTTTCGGAACACAATAGAGGAAGAGGATGGTGCCATGGAAGATGGTAATTGTTGTCAGGTGGGAAGCACAGGTAGAAAAGGTTTTCTGACACCCACTCGCAGAAGGAATCTTCATAACTGAGGTGAAAATGAACGCGTATGACGTCAGAATAATCAGCAGACTAATGACCTCATTGAAAACAGCAATAACAAAACATAGTATCTGGCTGATGTAGGGATCTGAGCAGGAGACAGGCACAATTACAGAGTGCTCACAGATAAAATTATTGATGATGCTAGACTCTCAATAGGAGAATGCAAGAAGAAAATATGTGAGTGTTAGGGAACACACTACCCCCCCATGTATAAGATCCAACCACCAGAAACACAACCAGCCTGTGAGACATAAGAGCAGTATAGAGCAGGGGGTTACATACTGCCACAAAGCGGTCATAAGCCATTGCTGCCAGCATAAATGTTTCAGCTACAGCAAAAATGCAGGCAAAAGAAAACTGCAGTATGCACCCATAGAAAGAAATGGTCCTGTCCTCCACAACCAAGTTCTCCAAGAGTTTAGGTGTCACTACAGTAGAATAACAGAAATCAACAAAGGACAAGTGGCTGAGGAAGAAGTACATGATGGTGTGAAGCTTGGGGTTTATGCGGATGAGGATTATCATCCCCACATTCCCCACCACTGTTAGAGTGTAGATGAGCGAGAAGAGCAGGAAGAGTGGGACCTGTAGATCTGGGTAGTCAGAAAAACCCACGAGAATAAACGTCTGCATGCTGCTTTGATTTCCTTTTGTTGCCTTCATAATTCCTGTTGGAAAGAAAAGAAAAGCATGCATGTACAGTAGACAAAAAAATAAAGGAAGACATAGAGAAAGTGAAACATTTATTTGACGTTTCTACGGAGGCTGATAAGAACATTATTTCTCATACCTGGTTTCCCAAATGTGACACTTTTAAAAACATTTATTTTTTGAGATCATAATATAAAAACATGTGCAAGTAACAAATTGGGACATTTTTTGAAAGAATATTTCCCAGATCCATCAACTTTCTTTTTTTTTAATTTTAAGATAATTTAATTAGAATATTTCTTCTTTCCTATTCTTTTCCCACCCACAATGAGCTCTCCAGAATCAATCACTGATTAAGAAAATTCCTTATAAAGTTGATTATTGTTTTCTCGAGGTCTGTGAAGAATTTTGTTGGGATTTTGATGGGGATTGCATTGAATCTATAGACTGCTTTTGGTAGAATTGCCATTTTTCCTATGTTGATCCTTCCAATCCAAGAGCATGGGAGATCCTTCCATTTTCTGGTATCCTCTTCAATTTCTTTCTTCAAAGACTTAAAGTTCTTGTCAAATAGATCTTTCACTTCCTTGGTTAGAGTTACCCCAAGATACTTTATGCTGTTTGTAGCTATCGTGAAAGGTGAGGTTTCTCTGATTTCCCTCTCTCCTTCTTAGTTCTTTGTGTATAGGAGGGCAACTGATTTTTTGGAGTTGATCTTGTATCCTGCCACATTACTAAAGGTGTTTATCACCTGTAGGAGTTCTTTGGTAGAGTTTTTGGGGTCGCTTATGTACACTATCATATCATCTGCAAATAACAAAAGTTTGACTTCGTGGCTGACAGTGAGGGCTGACTGAGAAGCCAAGGACAATGGCACTAGGTTTTGATTCTACTGCATGTATTGGCTTTGTGGGAGCCTAGTCTGTTTGGAAGCTCACCTTGCTAGACCTGGATGGAGGGGTGAGGACCTTGGACTTCCCACAGGGCAGGGAACCCTGACTGCTCTTTGGACTGGAGAGGGAAGGGGAAGCAGAGGGGGAGGGGGAATGGGAGGAGGTGGAAATTTTTAATAAAAAATAAAAAATTTTGCTGAAAAAAAAAGAAAATTCCTCACAGGCTTACCTATACTCCAGTCTTACAGAGGAATTTCATTTTCTTTTTTCTCTTCTCTTCTTTTCTTTTCTCTTCTCTTTTCTTCTTTCCTCTCCTCTCTTTTTCCTTTCTTCCTTGCTTTCAATTTTTGAGGTAGGATTCCTCTGTGTAACAAATCTGACTGTCTTCTAGAACTCACTATGAAGACTGCCCCGTGGTCTCGTGCGCCGTCCCTGCTTGGGACCCCGGCAACTTGTAACAAACCCATCTGCATGGTGTGCCTATCTATCTGCCCCTTGCCCACCCGCTGCCCACAGGGCTAACCACCGGGGAGGCCCAGGGAACCAGCCACCTTAGTTTGTGGACCTGCCGCTTGTATTGACCCCGCAGAAAGCTGTGGTGGACCCGCAACAAATCCATTACAAGGTTGGTCTTATATTCACAGAGATCTGCCCACCTCTGCCTCCCCAGTAGCATGTGCCACCATGCCTCATGGAGGAATTTTCTTTTTCTTTCTTTCTGTCTGTCTCCCTTCCTTCCTTCCTTCTTTCCTTCCTTCTTTTCTTTCTTTCTTATCTCTCTCTCCCTCCTTCCTTCCTTTCCTTATTTTACACTCCAACCACTGCTTTTCCTCCCTCCCTGCTTCTCATTCCCTTCCCCAACTTCTTCTCCACCGACCCCCAGCCTACACCTCCTCTGTTTCTGTTGAAAAGGGGGCAGGTCTCACACAGGTATCAACAGAGTATGGCATTTTTACTTGATATATGGAAGAATTTTCTTAATTTAGGTTCCTGCCTCAGAAGACTTACGTCAAGTTAATATAAAACTAGCCAGCTCGGAGAGATAATTAAATATATACATAAAGAGAGACTAGAAATATCTTACAAAAATGAACACTATAGAGCAAAGTATAGTCTATGATACTTTAAACAATTGTATGGTGAAAATTTCCCATTTCCTTATTCAAAAATATAACTTTTTCTTGATAGTGAGGCAAATTTCAAGAATGAACGTGACCATAAAATGAAATATTGCAACCTGAAGAAGAATGAGTGAAGATCCCACAAAAGGATGAAGCAGGATTATGTCTCTGTCAATATTCTGAGCTCTATTTGGAATAAATTCTGGCTTTATTCTTAGTCCCCTAAGTATTATTGCATTAACTCAGCACATTCACATAGGTATAAGCATCTTCAGGAATTGAGCGTCTATCAAGACCACATTCTTCCCAATAGTTTAATGCAGGTTTAATTAGGACAGGTTTAATGCAACATCAAGTGATGTTTACTTTGTTCTAATACTTCACTGTACCATCCAATCTGAGCATACTAATAGTATCTTCTACATTAGTAGCCACATTATGTTAGTCTAGTAATAAAAAGATAGCCAGAAAGTACTTAGTATCTTATGCCTAGCACTTTCAACTAATTTGCAAAGAACAATAAACTAGAACTAGACTTAAGCTTAAATAAAATCTGGCCTGGTTGAATATAATATCAGCGAATATGCTATTAGCTTTCTGTGATTTTTTTCTGTATAGTTTTTTTTCAGTATTTTTAGTTTCTGAAATATAGAAAGATAAATATGCTAAATGTTCCTTAAGAATAAAATCAGGGTCACTAGTCATATACAAAAAATTATCTAATTTTCTAAATGATCTTTGTGAGCTGGCCCCATGTTTCTATCTGAATTTAAAAATAAGGAAGTGGAACGCACTCACCTGAGACCTGAAGATCTTGATTAACAATCAGGGGATTTCTGAAGGCTAATGAACCTAAGAGTCTTTCATTTACAGTAATAAGTATACAACTTAAAAAGACAGACAATAGTAACAGGCTAAAGGCTCTTAACAAAACTGGAATTGCATGTCAATAAGTGTGCATGCAAAATGAGATTTTATTTCCAGAATGTAAGAAATATCAGGGTGTAGAGAAGAACTTGAAAGCTGAGTTCACAACACAAACTCTGCTGAAGTCTGCATCTTATGTACAACGCCCTGATTGGAAATGATTGTAGTCAACATTTCCCCTAGCAGTCTGCACAATTACATATAGTTACAGTGCTGTCTCTTATGTCCTGTATTTTCATAGGGAAAATTGCATCATCAAATTTGGCAACAATTACTGAAATCATATATGATCTTTTACTAAAAAAATACAGAATTTACAGCTTACCTTTTTCTTATATTCTCATTACTTAAAACATTTTAATACACACACACACACACACACACACACATTGAACATATTCTTGTCCTCTTCTTAGTCTTTCCAGATTCCCTTCCCTCCATATCCATGCAACTTTAAAATTTTTCAAAAAAGTGCACAAAAGGGAATACATATCAGAATAAAGAAAACAACACTCAAAAAGATAAACAAATCAATAACCAAAAAATTCACAAAATTGTAACTAAATAAAAGCACATAGATAAAATTGTAGAGTTCATTATATATAGTTGGACAACTACTCCTGAATGAGGCTTTTTGGAATAGTTAATTTATCCAGTCTCACTCTATTGGAAAAAAATAATTTTCCCACTCCCAGTAGGTATAAATGACTTCTAATTTGTTAATCTAGTGGTTAGGTTTCCATTCATTCATGAATTCATTTTAAAAATGAAACAAAGTACAATATAATCAGATGCAACAAAAACTATCGAATTGAAGTTGGGCAGACAAATGTACAGAAGGAAAAGATCCCAAGAGACGTCACAAAAATTGGAGATACACTCATTCACACATTCACGAACCTCATAAAAACAACAAACTGGAAGCGCAGGACCTGGTGAAGACCCTTGCAGATCCTGTACTTTTGGCTTCAGCCTCTGCAATTGCTCTGCTTTGCTCATAGTATTTTAAGGGGCTTTTTTTTTCCTTGCTGTCTTCCATCCCCTATGGCTCTTGATTTTTTTTAAGAGAAAGAAATCCAGAGATTGCCTAATACACACACACACACACACACACACACACACACACACACACACACACACGAATGAGTATGAGATAATGGTGGTCATTACCAGTTTAATCAATGGATGAACATGACTATGGCTATAAATAGGCATCTACCACATCCTTTGATAAAATGGCACAAAAAGGCATTATATCACCAAGGGGAATGACATATTCCTTTCATCCTGGCATTTTGTGGGCAGAAGGACACTGAGGACCTTCTGATCTACATAGGATGTTCCAGTCTAGTAGAGCTACAGTGTAAGAACTTTACATATTCTGTTCCTTCTTTTCTTCTATTTCTGAGGTTCTTTTTTAGTCTTCATGCCTAAACCCTCATATTCTGGTTTAACATGAGCTTAGTTTGGAACAAGTCTAACTTAACACCAAGTTTTTATAACTAATTAGAAGTCTCTGTGTTGTTCTTTTAAAGCTGGAGATACAAAGAAATTTCATTCAACATATTTTAATCTTTAATTGATATTTGGAGAGAGGTGTTCACCATTGCCTAGACAAAATTCTCTCCATAGCACCCATAAATCCCTGGAAAATGCCTTAAAATCTAATATAATGAAATTTTTCTATAATCTAGAGAGGGAGGATGGAATATATGAGCAAGACAAGTCAAAATAATTACAGTGACAGATGAACCAAGCTGGAGGAAATTCATGAACTCTAGACTAACAGCCTCATAAAAGAGTTTGGCAATGTTCCTTCTATTTCCATTTACTGGAAAATTTGAGAAATATTGGTATTAGTTTTTCTTTGAAAATATTAGTAATAGCCAGGACGGGGAAACAACCTAAATCGCCAGATGAAGGATCTATGGTGATAAGCAAAATATTCATCAGTATGGTTATGGGCCAAGGCCGGTTCAGGCACCCTCTCCTCTGTCCAGAGAACAATCTGGGGCTCTCTCCTTGGACCTGGGATCCCATATATAATCAAGTCTCCTGTAAACCCTAAAATGACTCCCTTAGTTGAAATATATTCTTCCCTGATCCCATATTCATCCTTCCTCCATCACCCCCATCCCGGTCAACCGAGCTTTCCCCATTCCTCCCCTACTCCCTTCTCTCTAACCCTCTCCCCTTCCAACAACCCTCCCCCTCCCATGCACCCGAGGTTACCTGGGACTCTTGACTATTTCCTACCTCCTGGCGGATAGCTAAATAATCTTCATCAGGTTCATCTTCT